GCCTTGCCTGCAGTGCAGGCATGCTGGTAATGAGTTTTCTTAATCTAAAAATAACTTTATTTTGTCTTCATTCTTGAAGAATACTGTTGCTGCATACAGAACTCTGGGTTTACAGTCACCGTCTCCTGGCACCTATTGTTGTAATGAGAAGTCTGAAGTCATTCAAATCTTTATTCCCGTTTCCTGTATGTAATATGTAATATGTCATTTTTCTGCAGCTGCTCTAAAATTTTTTCTCTTTGTTTTAGATTTGTGTCAGTTTGACCATAAAACTGTTAAGGTACAGTTTGTATGTCTGTGTGTGCGCGCGCATGTGTGTGTGTGTGTGTGTTTGTGTGTGTGTGTGTGTGTATTTATTCTGCTTGCAGTTTGCTGAGCTTCTTGAATCTGTAAATATAAATATTTGGGAAATTTTCCACCACTATTTCTTCAAACATTTTTTCTGCTCAATTCTCTCTATTCTTTCCTTCTAAGACTACAATTACATGTGTATCTGAATTTTTGATATTGTCCCTAGGTTCCTGAAGTTTTTTCAGATAATTTGTAATCTTTTTTTTTCTGTTCTTCAGATTGGATAATTTCTATTGATATTTCTTTTCTCATTTCTAATCTGCTGTAAGGCCTGTCCAATAGACGTTATATTTCAGAAATTATAGTTTTCATTTCTAGAATTTCTATTTCATTCTTTATTATAGTTTCTGTTTCTCTTTGGAGATTTTGTATCTTTTTGTTAATTATGTGCATATTTTCCTTTAAATTCTACAGCATCATTATAATAGCTTCTTTAAAACACTTCCTTGCTAATTCCAACGTCTGGGTTATCTCAGGGTTGGTCTCTATTGATTGCCTCTTTTCTCTAGTATGCATTACATTCTTTTGTTTCTTCATAAGTCCAGTAATTTTTTTATTGTACCTGGACAGTGTGAATCATAAGTTGTTTTAGCAGGCAGGAAACTTGTCTGGAGTTAAACTCCAAATGGAAATCTCAGTTCATTTCTTTTAGCCTTAGCTAAGTCCTTTGAAGTATTTCACATGCATGTTTAGATTAAGAATTGGCTAAAGATTTGGGCAATTTCATACCCAGCATTTGGGAATCTTCTTCCTCTTGGGCTCTCTTCTTGGATTTCCTCTTTACTTTCTAGCTTTGGTCATTGCCCCAAACTCTGACTTCTGTTTTTTCTATTTAGTAGGACTGCTACTTTCTGTTGAAGTTTTAGAATGATGCCAGCAGGAATCCGCCCTCAGGCTAAAGGACTTTTTTAAAACAGGAAACTCACCGGCTACTATTACCTTCTTCCAAGTGTTAAAACACTCTTCACTATCTGCCTGCTTTTGGTCACTCTCCAGGGCCTTTCCAAAAAAAAAAACAAACAAACAAAAAAAAAAAACGAAAACCAAACTCACTGTCATTGTGTCGATTCTGACTCATAGCAACCCTATAGGACAGAGTAGAACTGTCCCATACGGTTTCCAAGGAGCAGCTGGTGGATTCAAACTGCCGACCTTTTGGTTAGCAGCCAAACGCTTAACCACTGCACCACCAGGGCTCAGGTAGTAGTTTTTAAATATTTTGCCCAGAGTTTGTAGCTATTATCTGTGGGAGGGTTGACCCATAAGGAGTCACTTAGCTGTCATGGGAAGCAGAATCAAACATTGCATATTTTATTTTAAATCCTATTTACTTGTTGGAGATTGTTCTTGTACATAGATGCAATGTTCTTGTATATTTCATTGAAAGTACACATTGCTAAAGATTTCTTTTGCTTCTTTATTGTCAATCTTTTATTTGCGACATTTCTTTGGAATATTCTCTCATTTTGAACTGCTGAATATTTTCATGATTCTTTTGTTGTATTTGCCTATCTTATGAGGCAACAGGGAAGTTGTAGCTTATCCAGTTTAAGAGTTAAGTGAGATTCTTTTGCAAATTGTGGCCTTAAGGTCTTTGTACAGTTTTGGTCTCTTTAATCCCTTGGTAGGAGGTGAAGGGAGCCTTGTGTCACCATCTCCTATATATAGTCAATTTGCTCAAATTTATTTAGTAAAAGGCTTACATACATCCTTTCTGCTCATTTTCAAAGTGTTGTGCAGGAGTGGAGGAAACAGTCTTAAAAAGTGACTTTTAACTCAGTTTTAAAGATATTTAAAGAGTTTGTCATGTGCCTTCATCTATTTATGTGCATGCATGTGTATGTGTGGCTTTAAACAACAATGTATTGTTAACACTTATGGTTCTGTGAGTTCTCAGCTTAGTGGAGTGCTTGTCACTTGGTTCTCTTATGGAGTTGCAGACTTATGATGTCTGGGCCTGGAGTCATCTGAAAGCTGGACTGGACTAGACATTCAAAATGGCTTATTTATATGGAACTCATTAAGGGCTGTCCACCTGTAAAACTGGCATGGTAGTGGCATCTGATCACCTCTAACTTCAAAAGGGTGAGAGAGAATCACCATCAGCATCAACCGAAGGCTGATTCCTATGAAGTGGAGGTCAGACATACCTCTGCTTTCCAACCTTTTTCATCAGTTCTGACACCAGCCATCCCTCCTATGGTACTCTCTATTTCTCTGTTGGGCTCAATAATTCATTGCAATGCCCACACAGAACTCAGACAATACTCATAATTCTGGAGTTTTTTAGGTAAGTAACAGGTTACAATTCAGGATCAGGAACAACTCAGGATATAGTTCTTCTGTCAGGACAGTTTCTTGGCTGTGCCCATAGGCAGGTCTCTTCATGGTCTTTGGCCTCTTGGCCCTTGGCCCCTCAGCCCCTCAGACCTCTTGGGCCAGCCTGGCCCCTGCCATGATTAGCCAAGTATTACAAAGCTGTTTAGCTCCACCAATAAATGCCCAGAGATACCCTACTCTGCCAGTAAACCTTGGCCCGAAGGTGCTCACCTCTCTTGCTCTGTGGGCCAGCAAGCCTAGCTCTGTTGACAAGTGCCTGGAGGTACCACACTCCACTAGCAAGCCTCCTGCCTGAAGGCACTCAGCTTTCTCCATCTGTCGGCAGAAAGCACACTGCGCCATCTCCTGCTGGTCTGCTGGTTCTGCTGCCTCTGCTGCTGCCATTTCTCTGCTGCTGCTTCTCATCGTCTCTCACAGCCTCCTGTGTTACAGCTCTCTCTGTCTCCTGGGTCTAGGAGGTTCTCAGTGCAGGGATCCAGCGTCCAAAGGAAGTGCTCCAGTCCTAGTTCTTCTTTCTTGTTGGTAGTGAGGTCCCCCCTTTCTGCCTCTGAAATGGCTCATTTTAAGCCTAGCAGAAAGGCAAAACTGACCAACCCTCTTTTTAAGGTTCCACACATCTATTTGCAAGGTCCCACCCCTACAAGTGTGCCATGAACCTTATTTGCTTTATTAGCAAGGTACCAATCCCCTTGGTGGACCACAAGCACCTTATTTGCATAGTCTCATCAGTCATTTGGTGGGAGTTACAAGACCATAGCGAGAAAGGCCATATCAAAGCAATCCATTGCACTGCACCACTAGAATGCCTAAATATGGCCTTCTCATGTGGCTTAGAATTCTCACAATGTAGTGATTGAGTTCCTAAAGACAGTGCTAAGAATGGGTATCCCCAGAGCTAAGAGCAGAAGCTTCCAGGCAGTTTAAGGGCTATGCCCTGGAACTAGCACGGAATCACTTCTTCCATGTTCTGTTGGTCAAAGCAGTCCATGTGCTTTATCTTTTGAATTCAATGAAAAATAATTTCATCTACACACGCACACACACACAAGCACACACGTGATATCAAAGTGATAATTTCCCATTAGTTGAACTAGTTTTACTGATTTATTTTTTTACCAGTCCTGTTTTTTCTTAGGTTAACAACACTGTTTGTGAAAGTAACAGAAGCCCATTTCCTGAACTATATTTCAGACTTTCCCTATTAGGCTACCCTTCATCTCCCTTACTTTGCTTTCTCAGTTTGAGGTTAAGTGTAGATTAGTACTTTTGCCTAACTTCTCAAATCATTTTTAGAATTATTGGGGTGACTTACATGATACTAGTAGATCTCTTAATTGAATTTACAGAAAGCAATTTCTACTGGTAAGAGGGTCTCCAGCTTTGCAGAGAAGCATTCAATTAGATGGAAAACAAATGCTTATTTTTGTCTTATAAACCTCAGTGCAGGTTATGTGGTAATTGCTTTGAAGAGCAGGATAACAATTTATGTAATCAGTAGGCCCCTATAATTACTAATGCATAATTTCTAAACAGCATTTAGCAAAATGAGACCCATACATACACTTTGTACTGAAAAAGATGTTTGATACCACACTAAATTAAATTAAAAATTTGCATATTTCCTTCCAGGAAATACACGAGCTTCATCTACTCTATTTTGCTTGACTAATCCCTGTCTACTTCTAGCTCTGTTATAGGATCATGGAAATGCTGAATCATAGTGATGGCAGAATGGGGGGCATATGAACCAGGAGTAGAGAAAGGCTTCTTTCTCTGTTGTTTAGGATGATAAAGCATCATTCTAAGAGATGATTTGGAAAGCTACATCTAGGCAAATTGTTTCCACTGATAGGACTATGGCGAGGCAATGCAATCACTGATTTTAGAGTATAAATGTTGGCACAGAACTTAAAAATTATCTGCGTTATCAGCCTTGGAAAACCGAGGCCCAGAAAAGTGGTATGACTTATGTAACACCAGCAGCTAGTGGGAGGTAGGAATAAGTCAGCATTCACCCAGTCAGTCCCAGTTCTATATGGAATCCATTCCACCATCCTGGTTGGATCACATAGAGTTAGTGTTAGACAATCCACATGCTCAATTATCCCCAGAGATGTTGAGCATTTCTGTGGTATTTATAAATTTACATGTAACATCTGCAATGCTTATGTAGGTTATGTTCCAGATGATACATAGATGCATAGTATCTCCTGGAGATATTTTAAGCTCTGGACATATTAAGTAATTTGAGTACCAGTTATGTGCCTTCTCTTTCTGAAAGACAAGTAATTAAATTAATGAATTCCTACCTGTGGCTCCCAAAGTCACGTCAAGAGAATGGTCTGTGTCTTCTTCAAAGCTCTGGACCTGAGACATCGAAATGCATTCATCTCATTAGAAATTTTTCCATAATAAATTCACCTAATTTATTTAATTAACCTATATCAAGTGCCTACTGGCTACTGCTAAGAGCGATAAACATAATTTTCTGACTCAAAGAGCTTACAGTTTACCGCAAAGAGGTGGCATTGACAAGGTGCCCATGATATCAAAATTGAAACCAAAAGAGTTCAGGGCAGAGAGAGATTACTTCTGGGTGGTGGGATCAGAGGCCCTTCCTGGGAGATAAGGCATTTGAACTAAGGTTAAATAATAATAACATTATTACTCTTCTAGATTGCCTTTTTTTTTTTTCTTCCAAAGGACTTTAAATCTTTTAGGAAAAAGTAAGTAATTTTTCATTTGTAAGTTTAGTTCTCCAAGGGATTTAGTTACTACTTGATAAATTTATGGGGAGCCATTCAGAAAATCCATGACTCAGTTGCTATGCAGGACCTAGGTCTGTTAAAGCTAATTTAATTTCCGAATTGATAGAGCAGAATTTATTTTTTTAAATTATTGTTGGAAATTAATAAATATTACTCTGCTAATGAGAAAAAAATTATTGAGAAAGCAAAACAACAACTATTACTTTTAAAATAGCAATACCTGCTTGCTATAGAAACTTGATAGATATAAAATGTTAAAAGTAAGAAAACAGTTACTGTTAATATTTTGGACTATTTCTTGGCAGATTTTCGTTCTAATAATTTTATTCTGGATATAGTTATGTAGCCAAATTTTTCCACTCCAAAAATTTGGAGGGGAGATTTTTTTCCCATATCATCAAATTTCTTTGAAAACGTCATCTCTGGTGATTATGTAACAGGCCATATTTTGAAGGTCCATTAGTTTCCTTACCTTTCTCTCACTGTTTGAATGCTCTCTAAATTTTGTAAATAGAAATAATGTTGAGATGAATATCCTTAAAAACAAAAGGAGCAGGCTCAATTCTACGTCGTGTAAATCTAATTCTATATCATGTTGTTTACTTGGGATTATGTCTGAATATTGAAAACTCAAGCAAAGGACATAAATATTTTGAACACTGTGGTACATTATGACCACAAATGACCATCAACCCAGGAATAAACTGAGAATACTGAGGATATACCTCAACAATGTAAGAAGAAATATTTGTTTTCTCTTTTAAATCCTTCATCTCTTTTTTCAAAGAAGTTACTTTACTCTTGTAATTAGTTAGACATGCTTCTTAGCATTATTTTTATTGGTTTTGGTAACACACACTCCAGTGTGCATCATATAAATTTTATAATAAAGAAATATAATAAAGAATTCTTTTTTTCTGTGACCATTACCATGGAGAAAAATCCACTCAGTGCAATGTAAATTACATATTTGTCTATTGATAAAACAACAAAAAAGTCCCAACAATCTAAAATGGAAGCCAGGCATACTAGTGGGCTATTCCATCTGAGCCAAATTTATTAAGTGATTAAAAAATTTTTTAAATCAAGAAATTCATTGTGGCTATAAAGAAGTTTCCTACCTTGAGTTTATAATTGCATGAGTTTCATAAATATTAAATTTAGTCAATATGTCTGGGAATTAAAAAAGAAAGGAGCAAGCTCAATTCTACTTCGTGTAAAAGCAAACACAAAAATATATTGATTTTTGCATTAAAATCTATGCACAATTTTGTTGGAATCATAATTTTGAGAAGTGAGCCAGCTATTGCCAAATTCAGTCTGTAGTAGGACTTTAGGGAAAGCATCATAGATTGATCTGGAGGCAAAATTTGGCCAACTGTATTTGATATTTTGATAGCTCGTTATTTAAGCACATTGGCTCATGTTTTAAATGCCATGAAAATCTGCCAATTTCACACATATTTTTCATTTCTTATAATTGGATTTTTCGATTTGCCATTGAAAAATAAATATTAAATTTGGCATTAGCTCCTTTTTAAGATGCAACCTACCCAAGCTTCATTTACTCCTCCTCTGGTATTGAGTCAAACAAATATTTTTTCCCCAGCCTGTGTGGTGAGGATGTAATATTTTAAATATACTTTTTAGAAAAACAAAATTCAAGTAGTGAGTTTCTTTCACACCATTTTTAAGGCTATCTCTTCCTTACACACACACACACACACACACACAGGAAAACATTCATTAAAGGAATGCCATAAACAAAGTTGACTACGAAGTTCAACTGAATGTTCTGTTTTCTAGAACTATGAAAGCCACCCCGACTAAATTAATATTATCAGAATCTCTTAATGTGAACTGATGCATTCAACAAATATTTACTGAGTACTTACTATGTGTCAAAAGAACATAAGAGTTTGTTTTCTTTCATTTTGATGTCTGAGTGTGTACTTCCTCTCTATAGACACATATACTCGTATATTTTTTCTTCAGGAATTGTCATTTATAACAGTATTTGAAACTATTCTGGGCAAAGACTGCTGAATTTGGTGTTTATCCATAATCTTTGTACTCTCACATATAGATGGCTTTTTTTTTTTTAATTTTCCTGCCTCCTGGTTTGAGGCAGAAAAATCTTAAGGAAGGGAGGAAACACTAGAGTCTAAAGAGTCTTGTAAACGAGCTGGAGTTTGGCAAAACTCCTTATGTGAATCCTGGCGAATATAGCAGTCTGACAAATGAGTTGCATATTGACTTGAAATTCTTTATACTAATTTAACTATTAGTTTGGTTATTAAATAATCTGTGCAAGATAGACAGAAAAGAAAATACTGCTTTATAATACCACCTCAGCTTATCAACCAAGTGGGGCACTTGGCCAAAGGTATAAATTTTTTCTCCATTTATAATTTTTACTTGCTTTTATGGTACTATTTGATATTCAGTTTAAT